TCCAGTGAAAAAAGTTCCAGCCTATCCAACTTCTCCTTATAACTCAAACCCTCTAGTCTCAGCAACATCTTGATTCTCTGTACAGATACTGCCAGACCTGCTGAGTTTCTCCAGAGCTTCCTATTGTTATTTCACATCTCCAGCATTCACAATATTTTGCTTTTATCCTAAATTGGCTGATAGTGTAACTCTCAACACATTTGGTATTGTCCAGCAATTGCTATCCAATTGCAGAATCACATCTAACACCAGCTATTGTGTTCTGAGTTCTTATCTATCTATAAGATCTCCATGAAATAAATTTGAGAGGATACATTTCCCCCCTTTACAATTGTTACTCTCTCTGCATTCCAGAATGCTGCCTCCAGTCCCCACCATTCAGTCCCTCAAGTTCCCTGCTGCGCCAAGGATCCCTGATAAGCCCCCTGACATTTAGAGGACAGACCCTCAGGACTGACCTATGTCCACCCACTTGCAGGACCTAACCGGACGGGCCCAACTGATGAATGACCAGACCCTTCACCCGTATCAGTAAATTCCCCCACTGTCTTCCCATGATTTCCTGGACTGGTTACACTGGCCCCACTGGGTTGACTATGGCTCACTCTCCGAATATCTAAAGGTTTGAACCCCCTGACCACCCCAAGCAGTTGACTGACCTGTGTCTACGCCCTGGACTGCAATCAGAGGCTGCCCCGAACTGAAGGGTGTTTTCCTTGACTGAGGACTATTCCCCTTAGACTTGGAAACATGGTGTTTGCTTGAAGCAGTTACAGTGTGTTTGGCCTGTATGTCACTGGCCATTCTGCAGCTGTGACATTGATGTAACACAGTGCCACACAGCAACATGTCCACCTTATTGAGTGATTATTGTTGACAACCATGACACATTACCTCACATTATGTCTGCACTAAAAGGTAAGTCAAGTTAGAATTACTGTGAGCCTTTAAGTTCTGGTTGAAGGGACATAATTCAAAAAAGCAAGGTGGGAAAGAAATGCTGTGAGCATTGAAGTAGGCAGAAAGTGAGTGAGCAAGAAGAAAATGAGGGATCAGCTCTGAGATACACCCTGGTTGAATCCATGACATTCACGTCCCCACATGCAAAATGTCCTGGCAGTAAAATTGCAATGCCAGTGCACTCCAAGGTGCAGCATTGAAGTGCAGAGCCATACTGTAAGTGGACTGGAGATGTACCATGTTGGTGCAGTGAGCCTGGTATGTGTCAGATGCCAATATCCATTGACTGAAGATGCACGTAGTCACTGCCCATGGAGTATGCCCTGAGATGTTTGTTCTGAGTGTCCAAGATGGACGTCCAGATAAGCAGTCATGAGGTAACTGCACTGATTTTCATGTCAGGAAATGTCTCTGTCTAAGAGTAACTCTGTCAATCTGGCAGCATTTGTGGAGAGAGAAACAGTTAATGTTTCAAATCTTTCGTGACTTCTTCAAAACTGAAAGGTGCTGGAAATCAGCATTTTTTATGACAGTCTTTGCTCCACAAAAGACTTAGATTTATGCCTTTACATCCCAACCTGAATGAATTTCAGGCACAACATGACGCTGAATTCTTTTTAAGTTGTCCTCTTCTCTGTGTTCACTTCTTTGGACAGGAGCCTTCTTCCAGCCACACAGACCCTTTCACTCATATCCAATACTGTCCCTCACCTGGACTGTCCTCTCTGTCTTTTTTCTGCTTCCCTTAATCACTCTATCCTGTCTCCCTCTGAACTTGCTGCACTCCATTCTCTCAGGTCCATCCCTGACCTTGGTGTTGTTGTCTGGCATGCTGCCCTCTACCTTGCAGAGACTGAATGCCAACACGCGGATATTTCTCTACCTCTCCCTGCACCATGATCCGACCACTGAACATGAGGCCCTGTTTCCAGGACTGTGACTGAACTCATCTCCTACAGAGGTCTTCTTTCCTCTGTTTTCTGCCACACAGTCTCTCAAATCCTCACAGACCATTTGTACTTCCTTCCCAAAATCCATAAACAAGACTATTCTGACACACCAGGCAGCATCAGAGGAGCAGGAAAGTTGATGTTTTGGGTCAGGACTCCTCTTCAGAAATGGGAGGGCGGGGGGGAGAAGGGAGCTCAGAAGTAAATGAAGAGGAGGGATGGGGCTGCTCCTGTAATGCTGCCTGGCCTGCTGTATTCCTCCAGCTCCACACTGTGTTATCTCTGATTCCAGCATCTGCAATTCTTACTATCCTGACACACCCGTCATTTTAGCCAGTTCCTGCCCCAATAAAGGGCAGCATGGTGGCTCAGTGGTTAGCACTGCTGCCTCACAGCACCAGAGACCCGGGTTCGATTCCACCCTCGGGCAACTGTCTGTGTGGAGTTTGCACGTTCTCCCTGTGTCTGCGTGGGTTTCTTCCGGGTGCTCCGGTTTCCTCCCACAGTCCAAAGATGTGCAGGTTAGGTGGATTGGCCATGGTAAATTGCCCACAGTGTTCAGGGATGTGTAGATTAGGTGGGTTACAGGGGATGGGTCTGGGTGGGATGCTCTGTGGTTTGGTGTGGACTTGTTGGGCTGAAGGGCCTGTTTCCACACTGTAGGGATTCTATGATTCTTCTGATCTTGACTCTATTTAATCCCCTACTCTTCTCAATAACATTCATGATTCTTCTGATGTTTAATGTTGGTTCCACAAATTTAGTTTTCTTGTCCTAGCCACTTTCTCTACACCATAGATGTGCAATCCCCCTACAATAGTCCCACTTTCCAGCACTTATCCATAGCCTTGAATGTTATGACTTTTCAAGTGCTTATCGAAGTACTTTTTAAAGGCTGTGAGGTTAGCTGCGTCTAAAAACCTTGCAAGCAGTGCATTCCAGACCTCCACCACCCTGAGTGAAATAATTTTTCCTCAATTCCCTCTAAACCTCCCTGCCTATCACCTTAAAAATATGCCCCCTGGTTACTGAACCTTCAAAAAGAGAACAGCTGCTTCCTATCCACCGTGTTTATGTCTCTAATAGTCTAATACATCTCTATCAGATCCCTCTTAGACCTTGTCTGCTCCAAAGAAAACAACTTGAACTTAGACAGCTTCTCTTCATAGTGAAGGCACTCCATCCCATGCAACATCTTGGTGAATCTCCTCTACAACACCTCCAGTGCAATTACAGCTTTCCTACAGTGGTACAGTCGCTAGAACTGGACACAGCACTTCAGCTATAGCCTAACCAAAGTTGTGTACAGCCGCAAGTTAATTCCTGGCTTTTATAATTTATGCCTCAACTGATAAAGTCAAGCATCCCATATAGCTTCTTAACTACCTTATTAACTGGCCATGCTATTTTTGGGGATTTGTGGACAATCACCCCAACATTCCTCTGTTCTTTTGAGCTTCCTAGTAGCCTACCATTTTATTGAGTTACTTCTTGCAAAATGCATCACCTCACACTTACCAGTATTAAATTCTATTTCAGTCATAGAGAAGAACAGCATGGAAACAGATCCTTTGGTTCAACTTATCTATGCTGACCAGATATTCTAAATTAACCTAGTCCCATTTGCCAGCATTTCGCCCATACCCCTCTAAACTCTACCTATTCTTATATCTATCCAGATACCTTTTAAATGGTGTAATTGTACCAGCCACTGATCTAACGATCTGAACAATCCATGTATATCTTCCTGTAACCTAAGACCTTCCTCCTCACTGTTAACTACCTGTCGAATCATTGTGTCATCTGCAAACTTACTTATCATCCCTCCCACATTCTCATCCACAGCATTTATATATCACTAACAATAAGGGAACCAATACTCATCCCTGTTCCCTGTGGCGTACCACAGGACACCAGCTCCATTCTCCAAAACAGCCTTCTACCACCACCTTCTGTCTCCTACCACTCAGTTATTTTGGATCCAGGTTGCCAAGTTACCCTGCATCCCATGACAACAAGGTGCAGAGCTGGATGAACACAGCAGGCCAAGCAGCATCATAGGAGCAGGAAGGCTGACGTTTCGGGCCTAGACCCTTCTCTAGGCCTGAAACGTCAGCGTTTCTGCTCCTCTGATGCTGCTTGGCCTGCTG